AAATCTCAACAAAATATAATCTCCTTCTACTAGCAAATCTTATCTAAAATATCTATTAACAAACCAACATGATCTTTTGTTAACAAATATCCTTATTTTTTAATAACTAATTTTTGATATCAAACTCAATTTGATAAAATCTGTAGGAAAAGCTGGCATATCTCAACACTCCTCCTTGCCACTTTTGCTGCAGATTTTTAATTTTCTTCTCAAATCTTTGAACCTTGTTTTGGACAAGGCTTTCATAAAAATGTCTGCAATCTGGTCTTCAGTCTTGCAATGTTTCTTGAGACAACCTTCAAAACCAATATCAAATTTTTTGATGTATTCAAATGACTTCTTTGCAACTTGAAAGTGAAACTCCCATACGCAATAGATGAACCTGAAAAAGAAATTCGCAATACAAAAAAAGATTGCTATGAGAGACATAAAACAATCATTCAAATTTTTGTATGGCCTTTCATCAGCTTTGTCACTACCATCATCCTTGGGTAACTTTTCATGAATTTTCACAATGTAGCCTCCTTCAATTGTCTCATCAATGATCTCCTCCTGAATTTTAGCATCATCTAAATTTTTTGGTTCATAATACTGCACCTTAGAATTGTCAATTTCTGACAAATTCAAAGCAAAATTTTTGCCTCTCATTTTCACTGAGAAAAGTTCATTCCCAACTGGATCATGTATAACACAAGTCCTGTTTTTGAAGATGACAGAATAATTCTTCTCCAATAACTGTCCAACACTCAATAGATTTTGATTAATTTCAGGCACATACAAAACATCAGAAATAATTTTGGTACCTGAACCATAATCAATAGCAACACTACCTTTGCCTTTCACCTCAATATAATCTCCATTTCCAATTCTGACTTTGGAGATTTGCGATTTATCAAGTTTCCTAAATATAGATTCATCATAAGCCATGTGATGAGTGCAACCACTGTCTATTAGCCAAGTTTCAGTACTGAAATTATTGCTTGCAAAACAAGTGGCTACGAAAAGTTGCTCCTCATCTTGTTCATCAACCATCTGAGCATGATGTTCTCTTTTTCCTTTATTTTTGCAAACTCTCTCCATATGTCCCATTTGCTTACAAAACCTACATTGAACGTCAGGTCTAAACCAACAAAATATTGAAAGATGTGAGGTTTTCTTACAGTGTGGACACGGAGGATTTCTGCCATTTTTCTTCTCATCTTTGCTAAATTTTTTTTGATCATTTCTCTCACCTTGTCGAATTTGATCCTCATTTGTTGCTTGAAAAGCACCTTCAACGACTTCTTCAGTTCTTATGGCTCGTCTTTGTTCTTGTGCCTCTAAAGCATTGATCAATTCTGGCAAGGTCATCTGAGATAGATCCCTTGAATCTTCAAGAGAGGAAATCTTGGCTTCAAACCTTTCTGGTAAACTCACCAAGACTTTCTCCACAACTCTGCTATCTGGAAGTTGTTCTCCAATCAATCTGATTTTGTTCACAACATTTAAGAGTCTGTCAGAGTACTCTTTAATGTTTTCTTTGTCTTTCATCCTAAGGAGTTCAAATTCTCTCCTAAGGTTCAAAAGTTGCATCTGTCTTGTTCTGTCATTGCTTTGAAAAGCCACTTTGAGAGTATCCCAAGCTTCTTTTGCAGTTTCACAAGTCATAATTTTTGTGAATACTGCATCGGAAACTGCTGAATGAATGCAAGTCATGGCTTTTGATCTCCTTTTGACTGCATCCCTATGGGCTCTCATCTCTGCAATAGTTGGATCTTCTGACAATTCAGGAACAGGATCTATCTCTACTACATCCCAAAGATCATTAGCATCCAAATAGGACTTCATTTTGACAGCCCAGATTTGGTAGTTTTCACCAGTGAAATTTGGAGGATTGGACAAGAAGTTGTTTCCTGGCATTTTGATTTTGAAGGCTTAAGTGTATAATTTTATAGTGAAAAGGGTTTCTCACCAAGTTCACTCACTCTCAAAAACAAAACTCAGGCCCTTAAGATATAGGCTCTTGATACCACTTTGTTGGTTTTTTGGGGCATAAACTAAAAAACAACACCTTAGTGTTGCAAAAAAAAGCTTATAAGAGACTTGTGTTGAAGGTGGAAAATGAGCTTGTAGTTCTACATTCATCAACTCACTATTTATAGTGATTACATGAAACAAACTAGCAAAATATCCAACTAACAATTATCCTAGAAATCTCAACAAAATATAATCTCCTTCTACTAACAAATCTTATCTAAAATATCTGTTAACAAACCAACGTGATCTTTTGTTAACAAATATCCTTATTTTTCTAATAACTAATTTTTGATATCAAACTCAATTTGATAAAATCTGTAGGAAAAGCTGGCATATCTCAACAATTATTTAACGACTATTTCCGGTACTTGTTGACTATGTACTCTATTGCTTTGTTCTGTCTCACAGACCAATTCGTCTAGTCAATGATTGCTTTTTACTGATGACATCTGTTTTGTATGCTGAGTAGTTTTTTTTGGCAAGCTTGGGGGTACGGAATGCTGATATACATATATGATTTTAGTTCTGATTTTGGAAGCACCAATTGAATGGTCGCTAGAGCTCGTGCATCGTAAATTCTTGTCCTACTTGCCATGCATGTTTCTAGAATTAAACGCAACTTCATGCTTGAGGAAATTGAGATTTTCTTTACTTGGGAATTTGATGGTCGGTAGGAAATTGGGGTTCTTGAAATATGTTTAAACAACTTACAGTATGAAGTTTTCAACGGTATGTTGATTTAAATATTGCTAAGGGTGTGCATTCTTATCGATTTACATTTCACATTTATGCAAAATGTGATTTCTGCGGGTTTCACCTCGGCTTTGTTCATTTGTCAATCTCACATTTTTGCTTAGAGTAGAGGTTGTATGTGACTAGAGCTGCTTTAGTTTTCTGTGCTTGCTTTAGAAATTCAAATACAACTACCTACCATCTTCTTGTGTGATTTAATCAAGTTGAATGTTGAAGACGGATCTAGGAGCACAAATTGAAACAATTAGCTTAACATGTGAACCTCTGAGTTCTGGATTTCAATGGCTGAAAGTCTACGGCAAAAGGTGGAGCCTGCCTACAAGTGAAGTTAGTTTACAACCACTTAGCGCCTCTCTTTAATTTCTACTTCCAAGTTGCCTAAATCTTTTCCAGATACTTCATAAATCATTTTTGTTTTGTTAAAAATTGCCAAACAAACAAGTAGGAAGCCAAGAACATTTGGCAATAAAACCAGTGATCTACATTGATGACTGAAGAGGTTATTTTTGAAGTCAGCAGACTTCCCCTAGGGGCGGGAGTAACTCTCCTGAAGTGGGTACAGCCTCACAGAAATCACCTGCTCAAAGTGTCAGAGATGGGGTATAATCCCCTGTTTTACCTCCGACGATCTAGTTAGCTTAGGTTAGGAGAAAGTATTGAAAAAGCTTGTGAGCGATATACCTTGTAAAACCTAGCTCCCAGAAAAGAAAAAGAACCCCCCTTCAGTGTAGCTTCCTTGTATTTATAGGAAACGGTCGGAGAGAAATGGCAGTTGGGACCAACTTCCCATGCCCTGACAGACTGGGCATGTCAGCCTATCTCATCAGGTCTGTCAGGCAGGTCCCATCAACTATCTTGCCCTTAGTAAGTGACAGACTGTGATTGGACCCCAGTTGTCCCATCAGGTATGATGGGGCTTGACGACAAATACCTCGGTAGCCAAGATGCACAAGATGATGGAGGAGTCGTGACAAGGCTCATCTCGGCAAATCGACACTTGATCATAGAAAAGGATGGATGAGTCGTTCTGAAAGGAGCCGGAGCGTGGAGTCCTAGCCGAAACCACCACCCTCAATGACCAACCATGCAATTGAGGGTGCTTAGGTGTACTGATTAAAACTTTTGCAAGGTTTTGTAGCAATTGTATATTGGATTTTTAGTTGCATTTATTGTGATGCTACCCGTATTTTAAAGTCTCCTCATTTTTTGGTAACTATAGAGCAGGAAAATAAAGGGCAACGAAAAGAATGTTACTTGACCTTGTGATCTCAAGACAATAACGTATTGTAACTACTCAACGTTGTGGATTTGGTAATGGAGTATCACGGGCAGACTAAATCAAGGAATTATCAAGTTAATCAAATCGTTATAAAGATTTGATCATGCCATGCTTCATAATTATCATTTTGCTTTGCCCTTTTTTTTCCTCGTTTACACAAATGGGAGACCAAGAATAATCATGAAAAGAAAACTAACTATCACTTTTATGGTCTGTTGTTGTTTTCCTTAGCTGTTGTTTTTTTAATCTCAGCCACTATACATTATTGTCATTGCAGCAACTTCATCAACACCTGGTAGAAGTGGATGATGCAATTGTTCATTTATAGGAAGTTTAAGACCAGCTATATCCTTCTTGAACAAAACCCGCGAGGAAAGATGTTTAATTGTGGTCTGTCAAAACTCGCAATACGTGGAGCTTCCCATCTAAAAATATGCAACTCTTCATTGAAACTAAAATATCCCAACTCAACAAATTAACGGAAACCTAGGCAGCCTGCAAATTATACTTGGGATTCGGGTATTATTTTGGGCTTCAATTTCAAAACTAATCAGCAACGAGTGGAGCAATCTAGACTTTATCCCCAAGACATTAGTTTCTTAACACTGCCCCTCACATGACTTGGCAATGGGTTTACAGTACGTGATGCAGTACAAAATACTCCCTCTCCTATGGGTAAAATTATAAACAAGGTAAAAACCCAACTTAATACCATGATTGAAAAAAAATTGAGTTTTATCTCAAAATCAATTGGCATTGAATGGAGTGACCTAAGATCTTATTAATGCAGCTAGAAATCTGGAATATAAATGCGGGACATTTCAGTCTCAACAACACCAAAAATTTCTAATAAAAAGTGAAATAGATAAACATATTTTAAAAACGAAAATGACAACTAATTATTTCCTGCGGCCATCATCTTTTGAATATAGAAATTAGATTTAGATCATGATTGAAGAAAACAAGATTTAGCATTTTCCTTTCGAAGAAGATACGGCGACCTAAGCATCTATCTGCAGACCGAGTTCTTGATTGTTAGTATCATGCGGTGCTGCTTTTGAAAGGAAATGAAGTATTAATGACCAAGAATTTAAACTAAAATGACCAAGTAGTAGTCTTGCATGAAAGTTCAATTCATCACTCACCAAATAAGCTGCACAGCTTCTTGAACCCGAATGAATACGACATAAAACCTAGCCTTCAATAGACATGAAAGTTTCTTGTTTAAGTTGAGGCTCAGACATTTAGAAGCCAATCTGCCGTCAATATTGCACAAGGTACCAAAGAGCGGGTTCCTCACAACTTGCTTGATAAAGCTAAGTACTTTGTATGACGCCCTTGAGCAATAATTTTACCTGTCTTTTTGTTCTTCAACTCAACACTGACAACAGCAATTGCCTTTCCAACTCGTAATGTCTTTGCCTCAATCTCAATTTCATCCTGAAACAAAGATATTGAATTTCTCCTTGTTAATTTGTCAAAAAGAAAAAATATCTCCGTGTTAGAAAATGGAGAAGTCACAGCAACCGAATTGAATTCTATTCAATTGTCAGACTAGCTAGGGATCTCAGGAGGTTCATTGGTGGGAAAGCCACCAAAACTCATAGAAGACAACATCTCGGAGGAGGAAGAAATGGCATAAAAGAAAAAGACAGAAAGCCCAAAAGAGAAGATAAATGTCTACATTAGAATTCTATTACAGAAAAATGACGGCAACTCTAAGAGTTGATAATCGAAGGACCACCCATTTAACCATGGAAAAATAACAAAGAGAACATTAAGAAGCATCCCCACAAACAAGAAAATAGGACCATTATAATAAGTTAATAATGGTACCGGGCACTTAGTATCATACAAGACTGCATTCGACAGCAAAAAGCCTCAAATCTTGAAATGCACAGGTAACAGAGAGAACCTTAATAACAAAAGTGATAATTAGGACAAATATTATTTAACTGTGCAAAAATAACAAGGAGAACCCTAAGTAGCATCCCTATAACAAGATAATAGGACCATTATAATAAGTTAATAATAGTAGTTGGCACTTAGTGTCATACAAGACAGCATTGAACAGCATAAAATCTCAAATCTTGAAATGCACAGGTAAAATAGCTGTGATATTAGAACACAGCTTAGTTATTTTCAAATTTGTATCACCACAAGCTCAAGCAATCAAAGTTCAAATGTGTATCACCACAAGCAAAGACATGGCCCCGAACCCAAAAGTCCCATCTCAGAAATTATACAATCAGACAACAATAATAAACAATTCGGAGCTTCAAGCGCCAACAGCTCAAATCTCTCAAGATATCCCTATCTCTAAATTTGTATAAATACACGTGTGTGCAGGAAGGTGAGGAGGAATTTATAGATGCACGTAGGAAATCAGAAAGAGTGGAGGAAGAAGAATTGGTGGAAAAAGCTGGAGGAGATTAGCTGTGGCCTGATTTGGTCAAAAAAGAGGAAGCAATATTATGAGAATAATAACTTCTGGTAAAATATTCTTGAAGTTATTTTACTCCAGAGAAGAAAAGCTATTGAGGCGGAATAAATTTTCCAAAATTTGAAGGCAACTCTAAACACCAGAACATCGAGAAAAGACTTTATGGAAAATGTTGCTTATCTGACCAAAACAAACCCTCATTGTTGCATTATATGTTGCTACCCTAAATTTCTTATTGATAAATGGGAATGTCATTTGGAGAGACCAGTAGAGAAACCCCAAATTCACATAGAAATCCATTCTAGTATATTGTACCAGGTAGCTCAAAGCTGAATTATTGAAATTAATCAAGTGCTACAAAGACAGACTAATAGACAACAAACTATTCGCCACTTCATTATAGATTTGGAAGATCACAATAAAATCTAGTAAAATTGACCTTGAAATGCATCTATGAGGTATGTCACCATCATAAATAGCACCAGTTAACCATCAAAACTATGATGCCCTTCTCCCTCTCTCTCTCTCTCTCTCACACACACACACACAGAAAGTAACATGTAAAGAAAGAAGTTCATAGTAAATAGCACCATCTACCCTTGAAATCTAAGATATCCTCTCTTTCACCTCTCTCAAGATTACAGAAAGAAATGCAAGCACCATAAATCAAGAGACCTGAACCTTAGATATCCTTTCTACTAAATGACCATCAGTATTAAGCTGTAGTCACCATAATCAACAGCAAATGCAGCCACCTTTCAAGAGATAAGGTGTTAGCACAAGCACCAAAGCATCCGCTCCGTCCACATGCAGCCAAGTTCAAGGAATTAGCAATGCCTCAAATCATTTAGCGCTAGTAATTGTGCCAAGCAAAATGTGGATTGATAGCACAAACCCTCCTCCTCCTCTAGATTGCTTTGGCGTTTCCCAACTTATATATTTTTTGTTTTATTTTCTTTCCTCCATATACCCCTTGATACAGCAAGGTGGACACATGGCAGGTTGCTAGCTGTTTATCTTTTTCCTGTTATCATATATTAGTTTCAGCACTGTAAATCTATCATATTTAAACAATCTAGAAGGCCACTGGATCTAAGCCCAAGCATATCTTAACATCTATTGATTCAAATAAATCAGAGATGCAAGACATTATAGATCAAGAAACAGACAAATACAACCACCATAACAGTTAGTTTTAGGGAAGATCAATGTAACTTTAATTGGTAGAGTTCTCTATAGAAGGAAAACTGAGTAGGTACAGGCAACAATGGTATTGATACCAGTGTTCTCTGCCTATGGAACCATGCTTCAACTAACAAATGTTATCAAGAAAAGTGTATGAGTGTACCCTGAACAAATTCAAGCAGATGTATATGTCATGCTATATACAAATGAAGCTTTAGAAACTCACAGAAGAATTCACCAGGATAGAGAACAACCAGCAACATAACTAAACATAAAACATGGACCTTGTCAAAAGGATGCATGTAGAAGGCCTTGCCTTTAGTTACATCAGTCAAAAGTGCCAGCGAAATGCTCATAGTTAAACTATTACAATGTCCTCATCCTCTGGTAATTCCATAACCTCATCCTCCGGTAATTCTATAGAATGATTGGAACACCATTAACTGAGGTCTGTCATAACTATAGGCTCTCCATCTTTTTTCTCAAATTACACTTAGTTCCCTGGTCAACAATTCCTGTTCAAAAAACAGCAGTCATAGTAATTTGCCTGTGTTTCATACAGGATGATCTGTCCAAATAGTTTGAAAGGAAACTCCTGACCTTAAATAAAATGCTTTTTTGATGTTAACAGCTACAGATGGTCTGTAAATCTTCCAAACTAACTTGAGGACACACAATGCAGTTTTAGAAACAGAACAGGAGGTCCCAATAAATATGATGAATCTTGAGAGATGTTGCTGTAATTTACCACAAGTTTTGCAATCCTAAATTGCTATGAATGGGTAGATTTCAGCAAATAGTCAGAGAGATTCAAAGAGCTAATATCCTTACAATCTATAGCAGCTATTGCTGTGAAAATGTCTAGCAATTTAATCATTCAATTAGCCTATGCTGCAGAATTTTCCGAGACTCAAAAGGCTGTAACCATGTGAGTCAAGATCTCTGGGGACCAACCAACTCTTTCAGGAAAGCATAACCTACAATAATACTGTCCATGGATATCAACATAAATGACATCAATGAAAGATATTTATTATGAATAAGTTGCAAAAACATCAAAAAGGCAATATAGATGAGAAAACTCTTACTCACATCTTGTGCAGTCAAGTTTCACCTTTTACTTTGAATATTGAAAAGGTATAGATCTAAGACTTTCTGTCCTCCACTCAGTTCCATGAATAATCTCGACATACCAGGCCATGATCTGATTCCAAATTTGGGCACTTTACTAGCTACAATGTAAATATGGACTACAGCTTCTTAGCACGAAATAAAGATAGTGATACACTCAATTTAAAGTTGTTTGGGAAAAAGAGGGCCCCAGACATGCAATCTCACAAAAAAAAAAGATAACTTTTGGAATCGATAATGGTTTATAGAAGAAAACTTAAGATATTCTTATAGTCAAAGCCTTCAGTGACTTTCTATGATCCAAAATATTCATCTCATTTGTTCTCAGTTACTCATCAATTATTCCAGTTGTAAAGCTGAAGAAGCTATTCTCTCTAACCTACCCAGCAGCCCACATTTGTGCCCCAAAAGGAATTGAAAACGATAGAAGAATAAATCCCCAATAAGAAAGAAAAGGAAAAAAGGAATGCATTTTCTTCATGTTACAACCAGATCTCTTTGTGGCACAACCAAGAACATAGATTAAAATCTGTGATGTAAATATGGTGTTGGATTCACATGGAATGGCATTATTTCCACCATTATGCAATTTCATAGGGCTGCATTCCTCAAATCCTTCATTAATGACTCAACGGGGTAAACTGACCAAGAAAGTTATTTTCTCTAGAAATAGGTCGCCAAAATTTATGAATGAAAAAGTAGGTCTTCATGTACAGATTGTAATTTTATTCAAATAGGCTTTATTATGGAGGTGCCTATTAACTAATAACTTCATAATATCCTTAGGTGTCCAAACAACTATTACTCATTGGGCACCTCAATCCACATATCCAGGGTTTTTAGTATGTGAGATCTAGTTCTTTGACACCTTGAGGCATCTCTACTGATCTAGGAAATTTTCCAAAGTGGAAAGACTCAGATGATTGAGGATTCTAAATGACATAAAAAAGAAGAAGGAACCTATTGTCCTACGCTGGGCTCTAAGCACTAAGTTTATCCATGCATGACTGCAAGCTAAATATTGTTTTAACTCACAGGATGGCAAGACTACCATATTCGTACGACATTTTTGGGAGATAAATCTGTCTTAGTGACCAAGTAGAATTTAAGCAATTAAATTCGCTTCAACATTCAAGCATTAGGCACTGTATTCTTGTTGACCAGCCACCATAACAACTGAGCTAATCTTTCCAACAGCCATTGACTCATCCATACAACACTAGGCTAGCACAGATAAACCATACGCGCAGCCCCTCTATATGCACGTAGAAATTCTGCAACACAATAAACTACCACTTATAGTAGAGTGATGGAAAATTCAAAATTACAGATGAGCATGCAAGGATTTGGTCTTTGAAAGATCAAAATCCACCACTAAAAGAGTGAATTTTGTACTAATTTCCCAAAGATAATCTATTAAAAAGAGAAACCCAAACTTGATAATGCTATTCTCTTCTATACAACTTCACAAAATGAAATAGGAAAGAGAATTGTTAACCAAGGTATCTGCTCTTGTACAATTAGCTTGCAGGTCAAAAAAGGGTAAATGTAGCGTGCAAAAGACCAAAATATTTTCAGAAAGCCCACAAATGTGTGTGTGTGTGTGTGTATTCAGAAGAGTTGCATGTTTTCAGTTTACTTTGTATTTGAATCCAAAAGCTCCCAAAAGTTTTAACAATCAACAATTGTTCTAAGGTTCCCTGCTTCCCTGGAAATCCTCCTCAGAGAAAGAATCATCAGAATTAACACCATGCTCTGAATTAGCATTTGCAATCTGGAAATCTGAGAAAATATTTCTCAGTTCTTGAGCACAGGAAGAAGATTGTTTAAGGCAGTCTTTGAAGGATATAGCAAACTTGCTGGACTGCTCAACCTAAAATCTTCGGGATCAACTCCTTTGTTTTCAAAACAGGGTTTAACTGTAAAGGATACTAAGCAATCCTTGAGAGATTTTTGGAGTTTAGGAGGAAATTGACTTTGGAGGGAGGAGAGAAGAAGAAGCAATGACAAGGTTTGAGTACAGACAGAGATAAGAGGTTCCGTCTGGCAATAAAGCAGAGATGGAGGACTGGGGGGAGAAAAGGGGGGGAGTAGGAGGATGGTTAGGAGGATCACTCATTCTTTGTCCACGATATAAAAATGAAATGCACGGTAAGACATTTTCACTTTTACCCATTTGACAGATTTCGTCGTCTGTCAACAAAACAGTAAAAGATGGTTATTGGTTGAATTGGTCAAAAAGAAAGATGAGTAGTGGACAAGAAATTAATGAGAAATTAGAAGATAAAGCCATTGTGATGGATTTTCTGAAAATGCGAAACACCTAGTCATTTTCAAAAAACTTGCACATTTTTCAATCTAGCTCGTGTATTTCCAGTGAAATTAGGCTGAGTGCATCAACTTTGCACTCCAAAAGTGCATTTAAGAATGATTATACAGCAATTAGGCTACTTCTTTCACTTGCAAAAGCTCCTGGCTCTATAGTCTACGTGTACCTCTAAAAGTGCCTAACGGAAGCAAATACATCTGCCAGACACAACAGGTTCGGTTTCACCTACACAGTCACCTATCATTTCCCAAAGCTGACCACTGGCCATCTTGACATGCAGTAAACTAAACAGGGAGAGAAACATAGGACATCAATTACAATTTTCCCAGTATTCCTAAACTAATTATTTAACTGCAAAAAGTGGCACAATTGTTAGGATCTTTGCCAATTAGCTCTCCATGTTCTTGAATGTTTCAATGCAATAGAGATTCAGGTAAAAGAGTTAAACGAATGAAGAATAGTTACAACAATTAATTAGATATGACCAATCTGCCTTTTCTTCACTTCTTGACATTACTATGCATTGCCAAGGAGGCCTTGTGGTCTTGTGGCTAAGGTTGAGGTCTTAGAAGTCTTGGGTTCATATCCCCCATCCCCCTCTCTGCTTTTTAAATCCCACCCCTCCCCTGCTAGGAATTTTTTTTTTTAAATTGCTATGCATTAAGTCAAACTAGAATTTCTACTATAAATAGGAGGGGAGCATTCAATAGTTGATGCAAATGCAACAGACAACTGGTGGAGATGCATTCCAGCCAAAACCACGCTCAGTATCTTCAAAATGACGTAGTCACTAAACTTTCATTTATACTGAAACAATCCATGCATCAGTATCATTATAGACAATTCTTTCTTCAACCAGATTTTGTTACATGAACTCCCAGCCTTAAGTTGTCATACAACGAAGCTCTCGGTTTATATAAACGTATAATCATCACTTTTATCAGAGATTTCTTGGGGATATTGCACAGCATGGGACCAAACCGTTGCCCAAAGGAGCAATACTAAAATATGATATCTGAAAATGTTAAGAAGGTAATTCAGAATATTTAAAAGTCAACACAAGGATCCATCTTTACTTCTTTTCTGCTAAACCAGATCGATGAATGGCAAGAAATAATTCCCAAAGAATTTTTTTTCCAACTGACAAACCAGAGCTGCAAGTAACTATATAACCAACCAATAGCACAAATCTTGAACCCAGATAAATGAATCCCAATACCACCATAAACACATGCTAAAGGAAGCTAAAACCTGATTGTATCAGTGCCATTATCTTGTAAATCCAACTTCGCCAAACTTTTTATGTGACGAGGAAAAACAAGATTCAAGCATTAAAATAAGGAAGATTAGAAGTATTGCAGTTCCAGTTGTCAAAGTTCTCCTGCAAAGATTGATGATGTGCCAGAGCTTGATGAGTAACGACCCAAAAGAAAAGCCTAAATAGTCATCCACAGACAAGTCTTTTTTCGTTCCTGATCTTCATGAGTAATTCATTATCATATCATGTAAGTAGCTTGCAGGGCACGAGAATTAGCAAGTGTCAGTTACAATCTGAAAGAGAGTCAAACTTTTTCACATAAAGTAGCAAATTCTTAATCTAGGGTGGCCCTTCAGGTCATCAAGCAAGTCAACTGATGAACAAGTAAAAGTTTGTCATGCAACAGGGATCTTCACTAAGATAATCTGAAAGTAGATCAAATGCTATTCGCATGCCAACCACATGGACTCTTCCAACTACCAAAGGATAAACTGACCTTGAATAATCTAAGAGTTCCAAAGAAGTGTTGCCAATTTGTAGTTTTTACATTTCAAGGATCCTTCCATTGTTTGTTCCTTTCAAGTCTCAACAGAATCAACTATTACGTCCATTCAGAATCAGATTGCCTACTTCACGCACTAACACTGTGATCAGATACCTTCAATCATAAATTTGCAAAGCTTCCAGAATCAAGACAAGCATTACCATTATACTATTCTTTTTTCTTCCTTCCTAAATCATTTCCATAATTGAAATATACTTGCCTACATTTGCAAATCGAAAGCTTAAAATGGCAAAAAAGTATCCACCTAAACAAGCAAAAACAACTGCCCCACATAAAAATTCATCCGTAAGACACGCATCTTTATATTATAAAAACAAAAACCCAATTCAAATTACAGCGCAAACACCATAACGACACCAAAACGACGCCTAAAAAAAAGATATATTTCAGGCAAAAGGAAAGAGTTACATACACCAACATAGGCACCATCCAGGTAGGAAACATTGATCTCAACGGAAACTCCAGTCACCGGAGACCCCACGGTGTATATGACAGCTGAACCCACCATGTCCACCAGCGTGGCTGTCGCCCCACCATGCAAAGAAGTCCCAGTATTCTTCACCCAAAAAAAATTATCACAACAAACAACACCAATTAATACAAAACGCATCAAAATTCGGAAATTCAGTAGCACCAAAGAAAAAGGAAGATCTTACCAGAAGACGAGAAGGAACAACCATGGAGCAGACAATACGACCCCGTTCAATGAGGTCAACCTTGAGGCCTTGAACTACAAAGGGTTCAAAGTATCTCTGGGGCATAGAATCCACTGTTGATTCATATGGGCCTCCTTCTTTCTCTAGCAATCTTTTCACTGATTCAAAGTCCATTTTTGGAATCTGATTGGCATGTAATATTATTATGGATTATATATAGTTCTACGGAAACTTGCGAGAAGAATAAGAGAAGGAAAAGAAAACAATACGGTACTAGTATGATCATTTCCCAATAATTAATAGAAATGATGTTAAGACGCTTTACCCCTTTTTACCTCGCTAGTGGTACAGTGGCCGGGGCACCCACTGCCGAGGCCTGAATTGGGATCTGCAGGTAGGTTAGACTGATTAGTGATCAGGTGTCGGGGTGTGAATCGAAATCGAAATCGATATCGAAATCGGTAATTCGAAACTTTGAAATCGGAATTTTTCGAAATTTTAGTATCAGAATTTTCGACCGATTTCGATTTCGAATTCACCAAATAGGATTTTTGACCGATTTCGGAAATCGGAATTTCCGATTTGAAAAATCTCGTTACCGAATTCGACCTGAATTTGACGAATTCGAAATCGATATTCCGATTTTCATTCCGAATTACCGAATTCGAATTCGATCGGTAAATCGGAATTTTTTGATTTTGCACACCCCTAATCAGGTGTCAGGATGAAGAAATTAAGTCAGCAAACGATGTCGTTTTATGTAACTTATCAAACAAATCAGTTGGAAGCAGAATAAGGGGAACGGTGTCGTTTTATGATGAAATAAATCAATAGAAATCAGAATAAGTGGAATGGTGTCGTACCCATGCATAACAGATTCAATTAGAATTAGTTAAAGTCGGTTAGCCATCCTATTTGTACAGAATTGATTGGCAGAAATGATACGGAAGAACAATAACAGAATTTCTTTTTTTCTCTCTCTAATTCTTACTTTTTCTTTCTACTTCTTTTCTCTCTCGCCCTCTCTCTTCATCTGTACTCTATTTTCCCCAAATTTTGAGTGTTAAATCCCTAATGCAGAAGCCAGAATCCTGACATTTGGTATTAAAGCAGGTTGGATCCCTGGAAGAAGTCGAATTCCATGGCAGAAAGCACCAGATTTAAGACACTGGAGGAACAAATCAAGAAGCAAGATATCAAACTCCAGGACGTAATGGAAGGATTACAAGCTTCGCAGGCACAGCAACTGAAAATGAGAGAGAAGTTTCGAACGGAATTGAAAGATAGCAACCGGAGGATGGAAGGTTTGTTAGCTGAGATGAAGCATGAATTCAGTACCTTCATGAAGGTAATGATGAACAACGAGAAGGCTGTTCCAGAGGAAGATAGGCAAAAGATTGAACAAACACCGCGCTTACCAACTCCCTCACTGAATCAGAGGCTACCAGTAGGATTAGAAAACAACAGGATGACAAGGAAGGAAGTAGGTAAGTTCCTGATCCCTAACCCTCTAAAGATCGACCTGCCTATGTTCCATGGGGAGAATCCAAGGGAATGGATCAAAAAATGCAATAAGTGCTATTTAAATTACCAAATTCCTGAAGATCATAAGATGGAAGTCATAGAAATGTACTTAGAAGGGAAGGCGGACAACTGGTTCCATGGAGTAAAACTAGAAAAACCAGGTCTAACTTGGGGAACCTTCGAAGAACTGCTGTATAAAATATTTGATAACAGGATTGGCCGAGATGTGGTGGAAGAATTCAATAAACTGCAACAAGTAGGGCAGGTGGAAGAATACCAGGAAAAGTTTGAAGAGCTCAAAACCTTTATGATGATTAAGAATCCCCACTTAGGAGAGGAATATTTTGTATCTAGCTTCATCAGTGGACTTAAGGACGAGATCAAAACAATGGTAAGAATGTTGAGCCCTGCAACCCTGTCAGAAGCTTTTGAAATGGCTACACTGCAAGAAGATGCACTGAAACTTCAAGTCAGAAACTGGAAAACTATACTTGAAAACAAGTTTGGAATCTCCAGGAGTTCTTCCCAACAACAGATCCACAGTTCCCACTATAAGGTGCCTTCTACTAGCACCTTCAGGAATACCTTATTCAAGGGGAAACCAATTTCTACTGCAGATGCAGAACCTAAAAGACTATCAGCTCAAGAATTACAGTACAGGAGAAGCAATGGTCTTTGTTTCAAATGTGGAGAAAAATTTGGACAGGGTCACCAGTGCAAGTCAGGTCACTTGAATCTTCTAATCTCTGAGGAGGAAGAAGATTCTAAGTTTGAGGATGCATTAGGGGAACACTATGGAGCTACAGGCAATCCTAGACAAGTCATGGAAATGTTTCTACATACATTGTCAGATGCTCTGCAGAGGAAAACAATAACACTGGTAGGGGAAGTGGATGGGGAAGATATGTTAATATTGGTTGACACTGGGAGCTCAGATAGCTATATCAGCAATGAAAAGGTAGCCTTTGATGTTCCATATCGACTAGTTGATCCTTTTTTCTGTAGTAGTAGGAAATGGAACTTGTGTAACCAGTAAAGCCATATGTTAAAAAGTGGTATGGGAGATTAATCAACATAAGTTCTGCTATGACCTGAAAGTAATGGACCTAAGTGGCTGGGATATCATATTAGGAGTGGACTGGATGACTCATTTTAGCCCTATTACTTTTGATTTTCACTAGTTGACAATCTCCTTGCACAATCAAGGGGAAGTGGTACAATTAAGGAGACAAGCAAAGAACTGTGACTTGGATCTTATTAGGGGGAATGATCTGAGGAACTTTATTGAATATAAGAAGCAGATGTGCCTGGCTATGAGGATGGGACAGGGTAATCCATCAGAGAAGAAGGATATGCCTATTGAGGTTCAAGGAATCATTGAGGAATTTGTTGATGTTTTTAAGGCTCCTTCTGAGCTTCCCCCTACTAAGGAAATAGATCATGAAATTCCATTGAAACAGGAATCTCAGGCTTTTAAAATGAAGCCATATAGATATCCTCACTCCCAAAAGGATGAAATAGAAAAGCAAGCTACAGACATGTTACAGCATGGAATAATCATCCATAGCAACAGTCCTTTTGCCTCACCAGTTTTTTTGGTTAAAAAAAAGGAAGGTACATGGAGCTTTTGTGTGGATTACAGGCATTTCAATGAGATGACCATTAAAGATCGATATCCTATTCCAAATGTAGATGAGCTGATCAATGAATTGGCAGGATCAAGGTACAAAACCAAGTTGGATCTCACTTCTGGCTACTATTAGATGAGAGTCAAACCCAAGGACACTTACACAACTACTTTCCAAACTCATTGTGGCCATTATGAATTTCTAGTAATGCTCTTTGGGCTGACCAACGCACCAACAACATTTCAAGCTCTTATAAATCAGGTATTTCAACCTTACTTAAGGAAATTCATGTTGGTTTTCTTTGATGACATCTTGATCCACAGCCCTACGTTAGAATCACACCTAGATCATTTGAGAACAGTGCTGGTTGTCTTAAGAGAACACAAACTGTTTGCTAAGAGATCTAAACGCTCATTTGTACAACAAACTGTGGACTATCTTGGTCACACCATATCTGAGAATGGAGTATCCATGGATCAATCCAAGGTTGAAAGCATCATGAACTGGCCTGTTCCTAGTACAATAAAAGAGTTGAGAGGTTTTCTGGGGTTAACTGCTTATTATAGGAGGTTTATCAAGTATTATGCAATCATCTGTAAACCACTTACTGAGCTACTTAATAAGGACAATTTCTCTTGGAATCATGAAGCACAGAAGGCTTTTACATCACTAAAATATATTATGAGCACTGCTCCTATTCTTAAATTGCTAGACTTCTAGAAACCTTTCACTATTGAAACTGATGCTAGTGGAAATGGAATTGGTGCAGTACTGATGCAAGAAGGTCATCCTATTGTATTCCTAAGCAAGGCATTGTCACCTAGGAATTTGGGACTGTCAGCTTATGAAAAGGAACTGCTAGCACTAGTAATGGCAGTGACCAAGTGGAGGCATTATCTAGTAGGATACCATTTTGTTATTAAGACAGATCACCAATCCCTGAAATACTTGTTAGATTAGTAACTCACTACTACATTACAACACAAATGGTTAGCCAAATTACTGGGGCTGGACTATGAAATTCAGTACAAAAAGGGAGCAGAAAACAAAGTTGCAGATGCACCGTCAAGACTACATGGGGTAAATCAAGAATAGTCAGCTCAGCAAGGATCCTGTTTGGCCCTTTCTACTGTCAAGCCACTATGGATACAAGAACTTCAGAAGAGCTATGATTCAGACCCTCAGTGCCAGAACATTATTTCTCAAATACTACTGGACCCTGCTGCTCACCAACAATTTGAATGGGACAAAGGATTACTGATGTACAACGGCAAACTTTATGTAGGTTCAAACAATGGATTGAGGGATAAGCTTGTCCAAACACTCCATGCATCAGCAGTTGGGGCTCACTCAGGACAAAGAGATTGCTGGCAAAGGCTAAAAACTTTATTCTATTGGCCTACCATGAAGTTGGATGTCATCAGAATTATTCAAGCCCGTGATACATGTCAGAGGTTCAAATCTGAGCATGTACACTACCCTGGCCTGTTACAACCATTACCTGTTCCCCATCTGGCTTGGACTCATGTGACTATGGACTTTATACAGAGTCTACCAGAATCACAAGACTATGATACAGTGATGGTGGTAATTGACAAATTAACCAAGGTAGGGCATTTTCTTGTCTTAGCTCATCAATTCATTGCCAAGCAAGTGGCTCAACTTTTCCTGGATCACATATTCAGATTGCGTGGCCTTCCAGAATCCATAGTGTCTGATAGAGACAAGATATTCACAAGTACTTTCTGGTAGGAGCTTTTCAAACTATTAGGGATAGAGTTGAGTTATAGCTTTGCATATCACCCCCAATCAGATGGATAGAGTGAATGATTTAACCAATGTGTCAAAGCTTACCTGAGATGCATGACTGGGGAATTTCTCCATAACTGGAGCAGGTGGCTAGCACTAGCAAAGTGGTGGTATAACTCCTCTTATCACTCCAGCCTGCAAATGACTCCATTCGAAGCCTTATATGGGTACCAGCCTATTCCCTTGCCTCTAGGACCTTATTTTGACACAATCATAGCAACAACTTCCCAACTACTCCAGGAGAAATTGGGGGATCTCCAGCAGCATCAGAGATCACCTAATAAAGGCACAACAAAGGATGAAGTTTTTCGTTGACCAGAAACGCACAGAAAGAACTTTTGAGGTTGGTGATTGGGTTTCTCTAAAACTACAGCCTTATAAACAGCAATCAGTGGCCATCAGGAAGTGCTTCAAACTGTCTACAAGGTTCTATGGCCCCTTCCAGGT